AGGCAGATCAGTAAAGACTGACTCAGTTTATTCATCTGACGGTACAGGATATATAGAAAAAATCTAGCCTAACTTCAAAGGGTCCTCCCCGAGAGACGCTCCCCAAAACATCTGCTGAGGATGTGACAACATACATTTCCTTGTTATCAGGGTTCCTAGATTGGGTTGTATTTTCGAAGGCTTTCCCATGCGCCTTGGTGCCACCTGCATAGAGGAGTAGTATGTAAATCTAAGGTTCAAAGAGTGAGAAGGAATGTCTCAGGAACCTCCCTTGCAGGGGGAGATTTGGAGAGCCCTGCTTTCTAAATAATTGAACCCTGTGGGTTAAGACTGGGCAAGAGTCAAACTCTGTCCTGGATCTTAAACCCAGATTGGACTCTCTAGAGCCAGCCCTCAACAAATAAGTGCCTACTATGTGCCAGGCACTGTGCTAGGATTTCAAAAGGAGGCAAAAGATAGTCCCTCAAACACTCTTCCTCATAGAGTTCTTAATGTGAAGCTATGTAGCATGAGACATCCATTGTCAGGCATGGCCAAGGTGTGGGGTTGTTTATGCTTGACTTTGCTTGTTTATTATATGGGAATTTTTTAAAAAAAAATTGGAAGAGACTGTCTGGAAGGACAAAGGTGGGCTAGTGATAGCAGTTCTGGGGGAAAAAAAAGGAATACTGGAGTGTCAATGAAGCATTTTTTAAATACCAGAAGAGAACAGAAAATATTTTTGGAGTTATAGACAAGCAGGACAGTTTTGGAACTAGCAGGCTGAATTTATTACATACTTTAAAAAAAGAAAAAGAATCTAGGTAGATGTAGGAGACTTGCAATTTCCTATCCAATCCTATTATTCTGTTCTTTGTGTTTGTCGATGTTTGTCAGCATGGAATAACAAAAATTTTATAATTAAATAAAATTAAACCTAAGTAACACAAAATGGTTTAGATAGTGTTGCTATGAAGTATTCGTTTCCCTCCTCAAGACTTCCACATCTCCCCCCTCCCGTTTGACTCTTTTTTAACTGAGAAAATTGAGGCCACTTGACATGAACGCCTCCCATTCTCTTCCTCTCAGAATGCTGACATAAAGTCCCACTCTTCCCTTCTTCCCCAGTCTCTGACAAAGAGTCGGCTCTTCACCTTGAGCACAGATCTGGCCCTATGGCTTCCATACTCAGTCACCTCTAAAGGCTACCCATTCCCTCCAGGATAAAACATGAACCCTGTTTAGCTTTGAAAGCCTTTCACAACCTGGCCCCATCTGATCTTCCCAGTCTCATTGGGCATTTCTTCCCCTCTCACACTGTGCAATCCAAACTGGCCTTTTTCACATGTAACATTGAATTTCCTTTTTAGTATGTTCAAGACAATGCAAAAAATATAGTTGAATTCTTATTCTTAAGTAGCAATTCTCCTCTACTGGGGGAGATAGGGATAAATAACACATACATTAAATAATAATAACATTATTTACTAATTATAATTGCTATATTGCTAATACTAAAATAGTAATGAGTTAAATAAGAGTTAGGTAGCACTGTAATAAAGAATAACAAAGAATTTCACAAGATAATTTCAGAGCTTAATACAGGATCAGTTGCTAAACTTATGACTTTAATGGGCCAGGTCAATTCTCTCAGGCAAGAAGTAGGGCTGGATTGGTATGGAAACATTCCCTATGTAGGAGGTAAATCTTAAGCTGGATATTGAAGGATGGGTATTGGGCAAGCTGAGGGGAGAAGAGGGTCATTTCAAGTGGGAGATGAAGGGAAGGTAGTCTAGGGGGATCTTGAGTAGTCCTTTGGGTCTGAAAGTGGTTGGTTTGGGAGTAGAGTAATGAGAGATAATTTAAAAAAAAGTTTGAGCCACAAATCTAGCATGTGAGGGATAATCTCTACTATATCTTTAATTACTTTACTAACCTTTTAAGTGGCTTCATGTTAGATTTTTAAGCTTTATATGTGTTAATTGAGATCCTTTGTAAGAAGGGAAGCATGTATTCTTGAAAAAGTGATAACTATTGGGACTCCAGTTTGTCAAATGCTACATATCTTGATCTGAGCCAAACTTTTAGATGTAGAATTGGAGAATGGGATGATGAAGAGGAATGAATGAGTGAAAAAGCATATATTAAATATTTACCCTGCTATGTGCTAGACAGGAAGAATACAGACAATAGTTTCTTGTATATTCCAATGGAAGAAATAACAAATATAAGGGAGCAATGTCCAGGGAAGGGTGCTTGGGTTCAGGGAGTTACGGGTTGCTATTATAGGGAGCTAATTGATGGCTGGGTGGATGGCTGCGTGAGATGTGAAGAATGTTCTAGTGTGGGACCAGGCAGTGCGTGGTTTGGGTGGCTTTGTGCTCCTTTACTTATCAATCCATTTAGCTTAATCCCAGGGCACAAGTTCCAAATGCTGAGTGGGTTAATTTTTTTAAGGAAAGGGAGAAAAATTACCTGAAATATGTTAGTTTTATTTACCTTGGATGTCGAACTTTGTGAAAAGCAGATTAGGCATCATCTTTGCCTTTACTTCTTGGGTTAGATTCAATCACTCAAATATCCACTTGATTCGTGATCTCAGCAATGTGGGAAATCTACCCAACGATGCTGATTATAATTCATCTACTGTCTGTGCATGCTGTGCAAATCTTTTCCATGTCTTCCAGTAAATCTGCAATAGAGTGTCCACTTAAATGTACTTGGGAACTTCTTCTCATTCCTGTGACTTTGTGGAGATACTAACAGAGCCTGTGGACGGCTATCCCCTAGTCATTCCACACTCTCTCGGTGTGAATGATCCATCTTTTTTCCTGTTTATATACTTCTCTGATGACTTTGTTTATACATCACTGCTCTTTCGTTATTTTTTGCCTGTAATGTCTTAAAGTCTGCTCATTTTTACCCTGTGTGGAGACAGGATGAGTGATGAGGATGCCCAGAAATCAGGAATGTATTTTTAATTGTTAAAACCTACTAATTATTGAAGGTAGATCAGGAAAGACTTCTTGGAAAGGAATTTTAAAAGAGAACTTTGAAGGAGAGAAGAATTGTGTTGGCCGATTGAAGGAAATTTTTAGGTATAAAATAATTTGTAGAGTTGAGATAGGATAAAAGAGAGAAAGGATCAGACAATGTTTGATTAAATCCAAAAGAATGACTTAAAGGAGTATGATGGGATGAAAACAGAGACAGAATACTAGAGAACTTGGAAAGTGGACATAGTTTTTATCTAGGATATATGAATGAATTAATGAAAAATAGCATTTATGTAGGACCTACTATGTTCCTAAGTGCTGGGGATACAAATACAAAAGTGAGACATTCCTTGACTTCAAAGTGCTTACATTCTAATAGAGGAAACACTCTCTGTTTCCGTCTCTCTCTCTTTCTGAAATTACACACACACACACACACACACACACACACACACAGACACGCGTGTGTGTGCATGCACACACATATATACACATACATATATATGAGAAACAAAATAAAGATTGACATATAGATTATGTTAATATAGAGATTGATATATGATAGATATACCTATGGATACTGATATATCATGTTTATGTATATTGATAAATTAATCTCTCTCTTTTGTTTCCTATATATTGATCTCTATCAATCTCTTCCACCCATATCTATCTATCTATCTGTCTATCTATCTATCTATCATCTATCTATGTGATAGAGAAGGAAGGGAGTATTGGTCTGGGGAGACATGGGACCTGTAAATGGATCCATAGGTCAAAAAGTTGCCATGCCTTTTCCAGTAGCAGTGGTTAAGTTGATTTGGCTGCTGTTCCAACAGCAAAAGGAAAAGAGAGGGGAAGAGGTGACGAAGGGGAGGACAGATAATATTTTGTCCAGGTGGGCCTGAGTCTCCTGGAAGCTGACTAGACAGGATGTGGTCTGGGGCTGGCTAGATACAGAACTTAGGAGTGTTTGTTTGCATTCTCTTGTTCTTATATAGTGGCAAGTTAATGAAGAGACAAGTGAGAATTAAAATGAATGGTTAATTTAGGGTTTTAACATGCTACATTAGCAATTTATAGCATATATACAGCATGAGGTAGTTAAGAGGTAGATAGAGCACTGGGCTTGGAGTCAGAAGGACCTAAGTTCAAATTGCACCTCAGATACTTGTTAGCTCTGTGTCCCTGAAGTCCCTTAACCTCTGTTGGCCTTAATCCACTGGAGAAGGAAATGGCAAACCACTTTGCCAAGATAACCTCATGGACAGTATTGGCACGCTGTGGTCCACCGAGTCACAGAGAGTCAAACATGACTGAAGGACTAAACAGCAACAGACTCCAATATTTACCAGAATTGCAGGATCACAAATTTAGTAATGGGAGAAACATCTAATCCAACTCCTGCATTTTACCTAGAAGGAAATCAAAGCCAGGGGAGGTTAGGTTTCTTGTCCAAGCTTACACAGCTAGGGTCAGAGGTGAGATTTGAGCTCAGGTCCTTTAACTTCAGAGCCAAAATACTTTCCATAATACCACAGTACCTCCTCAACCCAATTATGCCTTTAATATTCATCTCCCCATTCTTGGAAGTGTAGAACTGGGATATTTAAAAATATCTGTTCAATTGACTGGTTATCTGGTATAAAGCACAAGCTAAGTGTCTGAAATTGCATCTCTATGATGATGGAGTATGCCTCAAGGGAGATGAATAGATTGGTTTTTGGGGACTTTTGCTGTCTAGGCATCTGTCCTTAGGGGGATCGAGCTGGCAATCCCAGCTGACGGCTGATATAAAATGGACCAGGTGACTGATGCTGTCCCCTCTCCCACGCCAGGAAGAGGTGTATTTTGAGCCCGAAGTGGAAGTTAAATGACTATCTCCGAGACAAAGAGCCTGAATTTACTTTCTCTGCAAATCGCACATGTGGAGATAGAGGTCAGAGAAGAATGCAGAACTTTCCTCTGTAACTGTGAATTTGACTGCAGAATCATTCTGATGTGGTCTTTTTCCTTCTTTAAAAGGGAACTATGCCTGTGGAAAGGATGCGAATGCGCCCGTGGCTGGAAGAGCAAATAAACTCGAATACGATACCAGGGCTAAAATGGTTAAGCAAGGTAAGCTGGTTGTTTCTGTGTGTGTGGGAGGGGCTGTGTGCTCGTGTGGGCTTATGCATGTGGTCAGATGAAAATCAGAGGAAGCCTGATGTCCACATTCTGAGAATAAGACAGTCAAATGCTTGCTGATTTCCAACACTGAATGCTAGGCATACGTGACTTGCTGTGATTGGGGGCTTTTTTTATTTCTCACTAACTTGAGCTTCTTAGCCTTGGGATGACAATTTCGTTTTTCAGTTTGTGTTACTCTGTAGTTGTGGGTCTCTCCCCCACTTTTTGCATTCCTCATTTGATGCTCCTTCCCCCCATTCCTTTCCTACCAGAGAGTACTTCTTGAAACAAAAAAGGTGAGGAAAGGCCTCCACAGGATTTCAGAGTTGGGAGGAGGGACCTTAGACTTCATCAAAGTTATTTTTTATAACAGATTAAAATTAACTTAAATAACATTGGAGAATATTATTTTACAGAGGAGGAAACTGAGGCCCAGAGATAAAGTAACTCATTCAAAATGCTCAGTGACAGAGCAGAACTTTAACCCCAAATTTCTGACTCTAAATCCAAGACTGCTTCCACCATATCACCCTACTTCTCCCATTATAACCCTGGCCATCGTTTCTGCTTAAATTTTAAGCAGGGTTGAAATAGGGAGTCATTTGCCTGGAATTAGCAGTCTCCTTTGTGATTGATTGCCTGCTTCTGAAATGGCCTCTTAGAAAAACATTGGAGCCAGGGCGCAGGGCCTGCAGCTCTGTGGCCTAAAGAATATTTGAGTCATACAAGCTGTTGGCTTTCAGCAGGAAGCGTCCCTAGCCCAGTGGGGTAGGTATCACTAGTGGTATGCCACTGATCCTGCCTGGGGTTAGGATAGGACCTTCTTCCTCCTGTTTTAAATGGCCTGGGACCTTTCCTTGTTAGGATTTCAGTAGCCTGGTCACCCAGAGGAGCATCACTTAGGGCAGTTTAATTAAGGTAGCACCCTCATTGTCCTAACTAACTTTTATGATCAGTGAAGTTCTCAGAGACCCAGGATTATAGAGTTTAGAGGCACAAGGAGACCTAGTGACCATCTAATCCAGACCTTTCATTTTACAGATGAGAAAATAGAGGTCTAGAGGGGTTATGATTTGCCTTGGATCATGTTGATGGTGAATAGAAAAGCTGAGATCACAGTGCTTTGGGGTTCCAGTTTGGTCAGTCAATATTTGTTAAATATGTGCTGAGTACTGTGCTCAGTGCTGGGGATACAAAAAGAAGCCAAAGACAGTCCCTGCCCTCAAGGAGCTTACAATCTAATGGAAAAATTCATTGTTCTTTTCACTATATCATAATGCCTCATGTTGTATAGAACATATAGTAAACACTGCCTTTGTATTATTATTATTTTTTTTGGAACCCAAGGGCAGCCTTTTAAATTCCAAATGGGTGGGTATAGTACCAGGTCATTCCTCTCCCACTTTACCTGTGCTAATTATAATTCCATCTCTTAAACAGAATGCTTGTATGCCTTTATTAATCATCTGAGGTTTGTTATATGCGCACGTTAAACCAAGCAGTTAAGAAATGTTTATTGTACCCTTTCTTTGTGCAGTGCCCTATGCTCCCTATTGGGAGTAAAAGTATTCATTATGCTTCTGTTTTGTTTAAATGATTTTTAAATGGAAAGACCTGGGTTCCAATCCTGGCTTTAACACTACCCAGAACTAAATCCAGTACTCTCCAGATATGGTCTGACTAGGACAGACCGTAGTGGGGCTGCTGTTACCTCCTTTTCACTTGTTACTCTGCCTCTTTAGAGTAGTTCTTAGACCTACTGAAGTTTTTTTTTTTTGAGATGGCCTCAGTTTCCTTCTCTGTAAAATGGTGATAATAATGTCTATACTACCAACCTCACAGCCTTGTTTGTGAGAATCAATTGAGAAAATACATGTGAAGTGTTTTTTAAACTTCAAAGTATTATGTAAGCATAAGTTATTATCATTAGGCATAGAGGGTCACCTCCACTCATCCATGCTGGTGCCACCTTGTACACACAGTCTTGCCCCAAGGCCAATGAAGGGTGAAATAGTCTTTTAAGGTACCGTTAGGTGACACAGTGGACAGGGCAGTAGACTTGGAGTCAGGAAAACCTGACTTCAGATATGGTCTGAGACACTTACTGTGTGACCTTGAGAAAGTCACCTAACTTCTACCTACCTCAGTTTCCTCATCTGTATAATAGGGATAGTAATAGCACCTACCTCCCAGAGTTGTTGTGAGGATGCAATGAGATAATATTTGTAAAAGTGCTTAGCACAGTGCCTGGAACATAGTAGGTGCTTAATAAATGCTTGTTCCCTTGCCTTTATTTTTAAAATTTTATTTTATTCTGAACTTAAAAAATAAAACAAACATTTCTATAACATAGTAGAATTTTTTAAAAAAGGAGATTGCACATGAAACTGCAAATCTGTCATGTACAACTTGCTATTCCTTTGCAATGTATAATAAAGTTATTATGTAACATTGTTTCTTTCCCTTTTTTTCTTCCTCCCTCCCTTTCCCCCCTGCCCTAGAGATGGTTACCATTAGACACAAATATGTATATAAATGTAAAATCATTCTATACATACTTCTATTTTACAGTTCTTTCTCTGCATGCAGATAGCGTCTTCCCTCATAGGTCCTTTGTAGTTAATTTGATTATTTATAATAGTCACAATAACTTAGTCTCTTAAAACAATATAGCTTCTCTTTATTACTTGTGTGCCCCTAGGAAAGTCACTCAAACTCTCACTGGTAAAATGAGGGGATTAGATTAGATGATTTTTAAGGTCCCTTTCAGCTCTAAATCTGCACTCCTATTTCTTTGAAAGTCTGAGAGAATGGAGAATTTATTGCTCTGGGACTTCTTTTTTCGTATGTCATTATGGCCAAAAAAAAAATGATCATCAGGTGGTCAGCCTACAGGTGATGTGCCTCTGTGATTAACTAGGTTGGTCCTCAGGATAACAGAGTCAGTCTGTTACTGAGACCATGCTTTGAAGCCTTTCCTGGATGATCAAATCTTCCAGAACTTGTTCTCCTTCGGAATGGAATTCAGGAACTGAGGGTCAGCTGCACTCAGCCATGCAGAGGTCACTTTGTATGTACAGTCTTACCCCAAGGCCAATGAAAGTTGAAATAGCCTTTTCAGATATCAGAAAGCAAGAGAGAGAAAGAGATTGGAAGTCAAGGGACCTGAATGTGAATCTTAATGCATCTACAAGACCTTGGACAAATCACTCAAATCTCTTTGGGTCTCAGTTTTCTTCACCTCTAAAATGGGGGGTTTGGCGAGGTCTCTTTCATTCTAGGTCTCTCGTGCTACCTATGAGCCTCATTTCTTGGGGAGGGCAAAAGGCTTTGGGGGGAGGTGGGACAGGACTGTGAATGAAGCTGACATAAACAGGTTCTCATGAGCTTCTTTGTTGGGCCAAATTTTGTTTTTGCTACTGCCTTGTAAAATTGTGTGTGTGTGTGTGTGTGTGTGTGTGTGTGTGAGTGTGTATGTGTGTGAGTGTATGTGTGTGCAGGTGCGCAAGTGTGAACCTGTACGTATCAGAAGTCCATATTTCCTTATGCAATCCTCTCCTTTTTTCATATTCAAACATTTATGTTTGTTGATAAGTTGTTAAGTTTCCAATGGAAAATTTTAAAAAGAAAATTTTAACAAATGAAAATAGGACGGGGTGATAGATTTGCCTCCATACTGAGGCTTCCCTCTAGGTGAACTCCGTGGCCCAATCTCTCCCTGCTACTTTCCCATCTACAATCAGGCAGTAGTTTCAGTCTTTCCACCTACAGTATTCTTTTGCAGATAGCATGGTAGAGTAAGATCAGGTCTACAAGCATTTGTTAATGGACTAGTGTGTGCCAGGCACTGTGATAAGTGCTGGGGATACACAGAAAGCATTTCCCCCTGACGCCCCAAATCCCTGCTTTCAAGGAGTTCACAAAGTGAGAAGAATTTGGTTCAACTCTTTTTTTTTCTTTTTCTTTTTTTTTTCCTTTGGACAACTGAGGTTTTCCTGGTGAAGATACTGGAGTGGTTTCACCATTTCTTTCTTCAGCTCATTTTACAGATGAGGAAACTAAGGCAAACGGGGTTAAGTAACTTGCTCAGGATCATGCAGCTAGTAAGTGTCTGAAGCCGAATTTGAACTCAGCTCCTCCCGACTCCAGGGCCAGTGTCCTATCTAAGTTCTTCTTAAACTGGGGATTGAGACCCCATGGGGTTTTGAAAAATTTAGCAACAGTAAAAGGTTCCTGAATGTACAACGATGAAAAATTAATTAAGAGTCAAATGTGTAATGAGGCTGAAGTATTTCTGGTAGTGTTTGCCCATGTTGCATCGTGCAACTTCATTGCAGCCTTGGTTTTGAACACGAAGCACGTGCACTTTGCACCATGCGTGCTGCCATGCAATGTCAGTGAACACTGCTGAACCTTGGAAAGGGTCAGAAGTGGAAAAAGTTTAAGAAGCCTTGCTCTCTCCATTGTACCACCTAGGTGCCACTTCACTCAAGCATTAAGATACGGTTTTAAGCCCCATTTCTGCCACTTATCAGCTGAGTGATTATGGGCAAATCACTTCTGCTTCTGGTTCATTTTCCTTTGTAAAATGAGGAGTCTGTAAAATGGACAGACTAAGTGACTTACTTGTAAGATCCTTTTTAGTTCTCCCATTCTGAGAGTCGTTGGATTCTCCTGAATGGTGGTTTTGAAGAACACTTTTATTCCTTCTCCTATTTTTCAGTTCTTGCTCTATTATAACTGTGCTCCCAGTGCTGTTTACTCTTAATAGGCCTTGGCCTCAGGCAGTCCCCGGGAGAAAGGTAGCATTTGCTCAAATAGGGTCTATGAACTCTGTTGGTCTGACCTCCTTGGGAGCTATTACAATGTGGCAGTCTATGAATATTCAAGTCAATGAATATTTATTGAACACCTCCTATGGGCAGGACACCATGACTCATAGTGGAAAT